GCCTGATTACCTTGGTTGAGGTATCTGCACTCCAACAACTTGTAGTTTTTCACTGGTGTCTGATTAGACTTGGTCATTTTCTTTTCTACCTGAATTACCTTGTTCTACTCTACAAGAAATGTGAACTTATTAGAGAACTACCTCATATTTCCTGTGTCACAATATTTTTTTAATTAACACTTTAAAATAATTAGAACTGGTGGCAGTAACTCCACAATTCTTAGGAGCAAACGGCAGCTTGCTTTATAACTGGATAGTTATACGGAAGTATTATCTCAATGTCATGGTCTATTGTAAAGAAAACCAAGTTTTCAGAATTATTATGAAAAATAAAGCACAGAATTCACCAACCTGGCACATGTGTGTTTATGCATCAGTTTTCTGAAAGTTGTGTCATGTGGTCTCCAGCCACAGAAAGGTATAATAGACTAGGGAATGTTCAGAAATTGATTAAAAGGATAATAAAAGGCATTCAAACTGCACAGGACAGTTTCTGTACAAGTAATGCCTAGGAGGTGACAGACTGCACGCTGGAAATAGTCCAAAGGGGATTTGATGGGGCTCTACAAATTAGGGAGAGAATGAAGGCAGATTGAATATACATCCATTGTTGAACACAGATAAGATACATAGGATCTAAAATGCAATTAGATGGAAGCAGGTTCAGACCAAACAAACATTTTTACTCACACCAAAATCAGTTTAATCTGTGGAGCTTCTCACCATCCTCCTCACAGTTGCCAGAAGACTTCAGCTTTTTAAAAGAAGGCTGCAGAGATTCATAGAAAAGAAATCTCTCAGGGCAATTAATTATACAGATGGTGAGCAAATTGCAGAAGACTGGAATGACATCTGATAAATTATCTCTCCATTTTTGTAATATTTTGTAGTTTCCTAGGTGTATCCATATGGTAAATTTCAAGACAAAATAGCAGGCTAGAATGCTATTTGGTCTGGCCCAATATATCTGGTTTTATATCTTTATCTTGAGCCTGAACACCCAAGTTATGCTGGGTACCATCCACAGGGAACACCTGGGACAATGTATACCCAGAGCTGCCACTGAGTGCAGAAACCAGGCAGCCAGAGCAGTGGGGCTGAGCTAAGGGATCCTGCCACTCACATGAGACTTTCAAGGGGATTTCCAGGCATTGCTGCACAGGGAATGTGGCAGCTCAGGTCAGCTCGTGCCTGTAGAATAGACCTTGAACAGGATAGATGTACCCCTACCACCCTTCATTGCTCTTCAAGTAACTAAGAGCTCCCCAGTTCCTTTTTGGATTTCAAACTGCCAATCACACAAAATGCCTAGGTGCTAGATTACTTTTTGCAATTAACCAGCCAGGGAAAAAAGCATGGAGCTTATAGATAAAGACATCGTTGAAACTGAGGATCCCCCAGAATCATGGCCCTACAGTGGATGAGGCTGCAGCAGTTCATTTCCCTGTGCCTTACAAGGTTCTGCAGAGCCCTTTAATTGCTGGGCACCTTCATGTCACATCCTGGGGCATGCACTGCAGCCTCTCATTTGCATCTGTCCTAGACTGCAAGATAATGTGTGTGTTCTATTTGCCATCTGTTAGAGGTGTGGTAGTTATTTTCTGTTAATTGGGCAGTTTTCTTTATCTCTTCCGCAAACCAATCCTCCCTTCGAGGAGACATCTGCTCTTAATGGCCTATTGAATGTCACTGCATGACTGATAAAAATTACAGCATCCCACTGTGAGATGCTCTGCCCAGAGGGAGGAGCCAAGTATTCCTACCTGGATATAATCTGAGATTTTGGGACACCAGGGCAGCCTTTTTCCCACTGGATTCCCAGAGGAGTAGCTGTCTTCTCCACTGAATTCCCAAAGGAAGACCAGGACCATCTACACCATTACTGGAGCTTCAGAGGAGAACTCCACCCTTCTACAGGATCACTGCTCCAATAGAATCACAGCTGGCACTGCAGGAGGGCTGCAGCCACCATCCAATTTGGACTGCTAGCAACACCCTGACCCACAGGGTGTCAGGTCGTATTCTGACTCTGTCAGTGGTTTTTTGTTCATGTTTGTACTATTACATTTTTTAGTTTTCCTAGTAAAGACCTGTTATTCCTATTCCCATATCTTTGCCTGAGAGCCTTTTAATTTCAAAATTATGATAATTTGGAGGAAAGGGGTTTATATTTTCCATGTCAGGGGAGGCTTTGCCTTCCTTAGCAGACATCTGTCTTTTTAAACCAAGACAGAATCCCATAACACATTTTTGGTAAGCTGCAGCAAATGTCTCAGTGTCATGGAAACTTCACAGGGAGCAGGAAAATAAAAAATAGGAGAAAACAAAATCATAATTTTGTCTGATAGGACACCACATGCAGCCCACAGGAGATGCAGTGTCAAATGCAAAGTGGAGGGGAAGGTGCTCTGGAAGAATCAAATGGCCAGAGCAGTCTCAGCACAAACAGCTTGGCCTGAGGAACACAGATAATATCACAAAGGGGAACTATTTAGCAGAATTTAAGTAGATGATGTTTCCAACAAGGACACAAATAACTTTTGAAGTAAAATATGTTTGCATTTAAAAAAATTTATATGCCAAATGAAGTAGAAGAATCATCTAGAAGCTGTCTTTTGACCATCACTACCTTCAGCCTCTTCTTCCTGGCCACAATGAACTCAGTCTCTGTGATGTAGCATAAACCAGTTCTGCACAGATTCTCTGGTGATTTGTGGGTTGTGCAGCACAGAGATATGCTCTTACAGATTAATGATACATAATCCTCATAAAACCAGCTTACACTATCCCACTATGGCATAACCCAGATGTGATCCTAACATCCAGAACTGCTACCACCAAAGAAGAGACTAATTATAGGTCACTTTGCATTGGGTGTTTGGAGTTTCCTGACAAAACAACTCTTCTGATAACTATAAAAACATCAGAGAAGTTAAAAGCACTCCTGGCTATTGGAGACTATGCATCACTTTCTAAAAAATGTGCTGCACAATATGAGAGTCAAAGGTTTAACAGAACCTAGACAGACTGTCAGGAAACCCAAGGCAGTTTCAGAAGCCTATAGGGTACAGGGAAAGTTCAGAGGCAGTCACCACCTTACCCCTCCATGTCCAGGTACCCTTTTACCCTTGAGTCATACACAGGGGAAAGGGGAGGGAGAAAATGGAATCTGTGCTCAAGGCTGAACTCATTTCTTCAAGGTTTGTCAGGGTGTTTTCACCAATAGGTCACCACACCCTCCCCACATGAAAGAACTGTACAGAAACCAGTGCCAGTAACTTTTGGCCCCGGGCTGACGTAGCGTTTTGCTCGTTCTCTGATGTGATGTGAATAAGCAAAGAAAGGTGTTGAACTGAAATGCCTCAAACACTGCAGCATGAAGCATAACAAGGCTCCCTTTTCTGTGTGTCACGATAGGCTCTGACATATGGTACTGAATGTACTTGATTATTGCATAAATTCTGTTAATTTCTGGGAAGCAGTAAGGAAGCAGACTTCCAGCTAAGATCCTTATCCTTGTATATCCCCTGGAGTGCACCACTTCAGTAACATTTTTCAGCAATACCATAATGAAGGAGCTCCTTATGTGAGCCACTGCACTGCCCTCACTATGTTCCCTCACCCCTTACTTGCCTCCAATAAAATCCCTGCCTAGGGAGAGAGAAAAAGGGAAAAAGGAGAAAGCCAAGAGGAAAACTGTTTTCCCAGGCCAAATTCCACTTACTCTGGGTTCCCATTAGGGACTGAAGCAGATGATTCCAAGCTGTGCTCTGCTGTGCAGTAGAAGTGCAGAGACAGGCAAAGATCACCATCAAGGCATGAACATCATCTGGGAACACTGTCATGGATCACCTTAACTGGTCTCAGTGTAAAGCTGAGAGCTAATGCTGAGCTGAGCTGAGCTGAGCTGAGCTGAGCTGAGCTGAGCTGAGCTGAGCTGAGCTGGGCTGGGCTGGCAGCCTCCCCTCCATCCAGATGTCTGTACCTGTTCCCTAACTAGCTGCATAAGTGTGCTCCAGACAGCTCTGGAGACAACATCTACAGGTGTTGTTGTCTTTTCAGCAGAGGAATCAGGTCTGGGCAGTGGCCTCCAGGTTCAGATTGGTGTGAATCATGTCAGTTCTCTTTATCTCTCTTTGTTCTGTCATGTGTCCAAATCTCTCAGTGGCATTCCTCATGGAAGATGTGCAAGAGAAATGTGGCATTATAGCCAGAAGAAAAAAAAAAATCTGATGAGGTAGTAAAACAATGGGTCATAATGTGCTTTAATGAGTAAATATAAAGTTGTTTGCATATCCCAGTGACCCTAAACTTAAAATTAACCCCACTAGCTCTAAGTCATAACGTCTCTGAAGATATTCTGGTTCCTCTAGTATTATAAGACTATAACCATTTTGATCTTCTGGATTCTCTCTTACCTCTTCACAACTTTCCCATAAGACTTTTTCAACCTCAGACCATCCATAAGGAGGAAACAGAAAAATTATAACAAGTAAGAGCTCAAGAAAATATACCTGCCTCCTTTGTTCTCTATTCCAGTGGATGTCATTGCATCTGAAAACAGCAGTGAAAAGCTGAAAATTAACAGGAATTTTATTTTCCTGGCAGAATGGTTTCTGTGCTCTCCCATATTGTTCCTCATTTTCTGCCTCGCACTGGCAGTGGTCTCCTGCTCCATGTCCTCATTCTTGATGTTTCCAGCCTCCTGCCCTTTCCTTGCCAGACACCAGAGACCAAAACTAAATACATATAATCACTGAATTAATGAAAGAAGTGACTGGACTGGACCTTGGTGACATCCATTGGCTCACTCCATGTCGGGCACTGCTGTGTGCTCAGACCATGAGGTGTTTAAGGCAGGGATTATGCCTTATGAAGTTTACACAGAGGTGCTGACTGAGGTCTTTGGGCAATGTGAACATTAAATAAGAGCCTTGTACTAGAAAATGTTCCTACCTGGAAAGGTTCAAAGAAAAGCCTCCTTGTACAAGTGAAACTCATGCTTGGTACACTGGCAGTTTATTTAACAGAGCTTGGCAACTGAAACAAATCATTGTACAAGAATAAGTAGGGACTTCCCATTTTGCTTCACCTTCCTCCCACAGATAGATTCACTAACATATGCCTGCTGTTTTACCAGCCTGGGATAAGCAATAAGATAGGGCCTTTTCAGCATGCAGAAATGATCCTTCAGCTCTCAGAAATGTGAGGTGTCAGCCCTGAGGAGGAAAACAATAAAAATGTTAATGCAATGGATGATCATCTGTCACTCAAACTGTACATTATGTATTCTAATTTCCAACAAAGACTGATACAAGAACATACAGCAATAAAATTTTAGTTATTTTGGAAGATCGAGAGGAATAATAATTTGTTCTACTACCCTTTCATTCCTATGGGCTGCTTGCAGTAATATATTTGTTTTTAATAATTTTATGTGAGGATCATAAAGAGGAATTGAAGGAGGAAGGAACAGATTCTATCACTGAACTTACAGTAATCAAAACTTGAGCAAAAGTCATTCCCTCTTTCCTGTGTTTCTTAGCCCTCCCCGTACTGGCTGTACACATTTAAAGGGACTCTTTACACAACTGCATTTGTTCACAGACATTATATCCACTATGTAAAATAAATGCTAGGAAAAAATGCAGCACTTTATTTTAAGTCTTCTGTGATTACTTTCTTCTTGAGTCTCTGAATTTCTGGTTTCACCATGTACAAAATATGATACATGCCTTCTTACTGCAAATTGCTTTGAGATGTATGGATGAAAACTGTTTTATATGTACTCCTGACTATGGGCAGTTTATTTGTTCCCCTAATAACCAGCTCCTTCAATGAAGACATTTTTATTAAGATCAACAGGAGAGCGGGGTGCAGGGGGGAGGCATTTAAATTGGGGTAGGATTTTTTAAAAGTGAAATTATTCCATATCCCAGTAATATAACATGTAGAAAAGAAACATTATTTGAACAGGTGCATTTTATATATCACATGCACGTGCACTTTCACTGCTTGAAGCCCCTCTAGTGAAATTCACCTGGGCAGCAAATGAGCCTGTAAAGTTCCATTATTAATTTTCAGCCTAGTGTTCTGTTCCCGTTTAGATAATCGGCGTCATGCCTTTGCAATTTACTCAACTAAGCCGATTCAGCAAAATTGCCCTTTTTACAGCACATGTACCCCATATGTGAAGGCTGGATCTACCCTTTCATTCTAGCGTAGTAAGGAAGAACATGTTGTCAAGAAGACGTAAATGCAAGGTTTACAGTAATCAGCCATGATGCACCATCTAAGGATTTGCCTAGAAGCTGAGTACACTTCTTACACTTATACACTGTATTGCTGCACATTATAGCCCACGTCATAAAACAACACGGGCTCCTGGTCAGAGGTGGTGCAAGCTGTACTGCACTGCAGGGCTCGTGTGCCACCATCAGAGGAGAGTCCGGACTGACGCACGGAGAGACAGAGCAGGCATCCTGTGGGACAGACAGAGCATTTCTAGCAACTTGTCTTCAACCCCTTTGGGGAAAATCAGTTACAAACAGGACCCAGAGAACAGAAGGTGGCTTAAACAGGTAGAAGTACTGAATGTGTCATAGCAAGCATCTAATATTGGTATATTTAGTCATGGACTGGGCAAGTCATGTAGTCTGGCCCTCAAACCCTCAGAACTCCCAAATTAATTTCAGTCATTTAAATGTGGATGCTCAGATAAAACCAGCCCTCTGGATGTCCTTCACACTGAGTGAATGTAGAGAAATACAGTCAGCACCCAGCTTATTTCACACATTTCAATATTATGATAGGATAAATTGTGCTCTAAAGGATCCTCGGAGTCTTCACTGACTGTAGCAGAAATTTCAGTTAGATAACAAACTTTTGTATGGATGAAATTAGTCAGGATGAAATACATAATGATTTGTATCCACTGGGAAAACTTGTTACCAGCATTTCCAAATTTCCAGTCATGCAGAATCAGGGGCAGATGTGGCTATAGTACAGACAAAACTTCAGTGATTCTTCTTCAGTAGAAAGTGAAAGCCAAGTTCAGCCCAGCTGAGAGATGACTATCATGAAACAGAGTACTCAATTTCAATAAAGATAGTACAGTGGAAAATCATGTTAATTACTAGTGACAATATAGAAGGTTCATGGAAAGTCCTGAAAAATTTTCCATGTCTTGTTTGCTAAATGATGTTCACTAGGTATCTCACAAGGGGAAACACCATCTGATCCTAGAAGGAAAACAAAACAAAACAAAACAAAACAAAACACCAAAACAAAAAAGGATTTGGTATAATATATTTTGTTAAAATTAAACAATGAAGAAAATGGAATCTTCAAGGACAGCCTGTGTGAAGAGGTTACAAATATTGCTTTGTCCTGCAAGAATGACATCATGGTTTCTCTCAGAATTGCTAAATACCAAGATGTGTTTTCTGAAACATGGACTTAGAGATATATGGTGTTTGTACTCACAGACTCATTTTCCCACAGAACTTCATTGACTGAAGGATGAACCTTCACTACATTGTAGTAGCCTACAGCTTTTATTTATTTTATAGTATTGTTAAAACCTCTCAAATCTTCATGTTAATGTCCTTCTTTCTCTAGAGAAAGTGCATCTATCAAGTAGATATTAATGTAGTACTCTTTCAGCTATCTAGTTGCTGGCATGGAATACACTTTCCTCATCAGGCACAAATGTAATACCTCCTCATTCATAATGGAATTTCAGAATAAAAGTGATTCAGAGCAAGCAGAAGAATTTGGAATACATTGGTGCTGCTCTCTGTGGTATAAAAGACATGAAAAAGAGACAGACATTAATTAGATCACAGAAGTGAAGGCAATCATTGGTCTGAATGGCACAGACTAAATACAACTTGGAAACCATTTTCACATTACACACTGCAGCAAATATAAGTAGCTCATATAATTTCTGTCGTCTAGAATCTGAAATCCTTGAAAAAAATCACTTCTTTTTGTAGCACAAATCTAATGATGAAGATGATGTCAAGTCAAGAACTCAGAATTTGACTGGCACTTCAGGTCTCCTGAATGAGTCCAAAGATGAACAAGAGAAAGCTCTGAAGTCAAATCTTGGATAGTGATGAGAAGTTGGATACTTCAAAGCTCACACAGCTGTAGAAAGGATGTTTACAGATTAAGGCTCACTGAGGTCAAGGACACCTGCTAGTAAAAAATGCTCAATTTTTGTTATTAGCCAAAGATGAAGAATCGAGTGAAGCCTCCCTGCTGAGCTTATGTTCTTCATTCTGATCATTTGTGCAAAGTTAACTTAGCTCTTTTCTGTTTCCTGCTGCCCCATGACAGATCATAAAAAACTTGCTAATAATTACTTAAATAACATCCATTTTTCTAAGGGTGATAAAAATTTTGTTTACCCTCTGCAACCGCCAAGGTGCTTTAGTTGGATTTGGATAAATGCTCGTTTGCAACATTAGCAATTCCACTGGGGGAATCCAGCCTGGAAAATTGCTGATTACATTTTTCCGTGCTTTTATGTGGTTTTGCCATCCAGAATCGTCATTTCAGAAATGCAGCACTTGAAGATTTTACCTATGTAAATAATGAACCATAGCCAAATCCTGGAGTAGTTAGCTTCTCACTGATGTAATTAAAACTCTAATTTAACAGAATGGCATTCTTCAGTTTCTAAGCTTAAAAACATAAAAAATAATTAACCAGTTATGATGGGAAAAGAATGATATGAGCTTGCAATGTTTTTTGCTTAGTCTCACCTCTTGAGTACTTTTCTTAATCCACTTCAGACCCCATAGGTATAAATGTATTAACGTGTATCCCATAGAGAAATACCAGATAGTTCTGGTTATTTAAAACACCAGAGATACTTCCCCCTGCTGAGTTTTCCAGTGCTTTTGACTTGATTCCCAGAAGTAGAGTCCTCTTGAACTGTCTGGCTTTGGGCTGGGATAAAGTTCATTTCCTTCATGGTAGCTGGTATGCAGCTGTGTTTTGGATTTTTTCTGGAAACAGTGTTGATAATTCAAGGATTTCTTAGTCATTGCTGAGCAGTGCTGACACAGAGTCAAAGCCTTTCCACACACCACCCCACCAGCGAGGAGTTTGAGGATGCACAAGGATTTGGGAGGGGACACAGCCATGAGAGCTGACCTTAACTGATCCAAGGAAGATCCCACACCATATGGCATCATGCTCAGCACATAAAGCTGGAGGAAGAGGAAGTGGAGGGCATTCAGAGTGATGGTGTTTTTCTTCCCAAGTCACCATTAAACATGACAGAGCCCTGCTTAACTGGAGATGTATTAAAACTTGCATGCCAATAGGAAGGAGTTAATTAATTCCTTGTTTTGCTTTGCTTGTATGTGTGAATTTTGCTTTCCCTATTAAGCTCTTCACAGGAATCTTCTCTAGTTTTGCAGCATCAGTCCTCAAATACAGACATCAGAAATGGAGACTACAGCACATACACTGCTGCTCACGAAAGTCTGGACACTTTCAAGTGTTATCAGTTGAGCCTGAAAAATGGCACCACATAAAATTACTAGACATTCTTGAAAACATTGACCCTAATGACTGATTCTTTCTCAGCATACTCCAGTTCACATTATTAAATGTCTCATCTAAAGTGATTTGTCTTATCAGTTGAAGAGGAAGAAGAATCAAATCTTATGTTCTGCCTTAAACTCTTGATATCGAGAAATTGCAACAAGTTTAAAAAGTTGACATACATTGGAGACTTAAAAAAAAGGAATAGGAAAGAGTAGCTCTCCTCCCTTTCCTGTTTCAGTTTACTTTAACTAGTGACCATAGTGCAAATAAACAAAATAAGCAGCAAAAACAAATAGACTTTCCCACATCACCTAAACAACTGTTGTATTCTCAGGGTTTGCAAAGAAAGGAATAAATGTGATTAGTTCAGCTAACACAGCTGTAGAGACAGGGTTTTTTGGACATGTGAGCTGTTTGTTCTTTATGAAAGCTGGAAAGGCTGTGTTTATTTCCTCCTGCCCTCAGCATTTGCAAGGGGCTGTGAATTCCCTGTGTTAATGACTCTCAACTGTTGTGATGATTTCTCTGCTTAAATGCAGAGCGACTGTACAGTTTCCAAATGTGAAATCTGAAGTGGAAAATTTAGGGGGGGTTTTTGGGTTGCAAGGGTTTTTTCAGGAGGGGAAGGAGATGGGAGTCTGCCGTTTGGGACAAAATGCCTGATTATAAATCAGTGCATTATTAAAACAGTGGGTGATTTTATTTGAGCCGCATAAGGAATGCAGTGACCAGCCCAAGAAAGGACTGTTACCATGACAGTCAGCCTACTGTTCATTATATCCATAACATCATAAAACTCTAGTTGCAAAGTACTCACTGGGAAAAGTGAGGCACAAGTCACAAAAAGCCCTGCAGACTGTGTTTATCTAACCTGAGCTGCTTCAGCTGTGGCTCCTGGATGAGCCGCCCGGTTCCTGTGGCCCCAGGTGCACCCTAACCCCCTGGGAAGCCTAGAGGGAGTCAGGCACCATCCCTTCATCCTAAAACAGCCCCCAAAGCAGACATGCTGAACAGATCACACACGACTGTTATGCTGCTGCAGATTTTCCCTGGGACCTTCAAGCATATTGACATTCAAAATTACATTGTCCAGGTGCAGAGCTAAAGCAGGGCTTTTTCAGGGTTAATAAGATTTGGAGTCCAGAGTTCAGTTTGGATATGTTGTGACTCATTCTAGCTTTCTGAAGTACAAAGGATGATGAGCCTTTAGCTGGTGAACTCGCCAGTGAACAGACCAGTTGGTTGTCATGTAGTTAAATGATGTTTTTGTCATCAGTGGACAACCACATCAGTGACCAACATTTCTGACATCATTTCTGTGCTCACTGCACAGCTGCATGCTGGGTGAAAACATGTGGCATTTTTTACCACATTACACATCTGGAAATTCAAAGCTAACCTGCATTTGGAGAGTCTGAACTGAAAAATAAACAAAATCAACTGTGGTTTCATGTAACCTTGGAGAGAGTTGTCTTGAGAGCAGCTGTGCTTTACTTTCAGTTCTTTCTGATACTCTGAATCAGTTACATCCCAGTTACAAGGATGTTAGCCCTCTGTCACATCACTTAGTGTAATCTCCTGCACAAAAAGTTTATTATTTGTGGTGCATCACAGAGCTGCCAATCTGAGAAACTCCACAACCTCGGGATCAAATGCACCTGATGACTGTGTCGTGCAAATGCTTGCAGGGCAATTGGTGGGTCACACCACTGACCTCAGCAGGCACTTCCCCGGGTGCTACCTGCAAATCTGTGTTGCAGCCCCTCTGCCTCAGGCATGTCCCAGTACAGACCACCCCCCTTACCGTGTGCCAGCACTGTGCCAATTGTATCTTACTGGACAATAT